CAAACATATCTCCAAAACCCTTAGCAAAGACAACTATTATCACCGTCCCCCCCCCCCCCCCCCCAAATTCTCCAGGGGTGCCAAATAAATAGCTGACCCAGTGCCTGAACCACAAGCAAGCTTCTCTCTCAACTGTATATCTCAAAGGAGAACTGGATGAAATACGAAGAAAGTAAACATTCCATTGTTTCAATTTTTCTTTTAAGTACAGCGCATACTTTGTTCGCTTCCCTTTTCAGTTTGTTCATCTTACTGCATCGACAGGGGGCGAAACCCTGAGGACAGGGTCCTAACTGAACCCCTCTGTGTGTAATCACAATGATACACGGACCCATGGTGACAGTGAGGCATGTGCAGTGAGGCATGTTTGCCACCACAGTGGGGCAGACAATCCCCCACACTGCATGGTGATAGCGCATCATAACACCAGGAATCCAAACAGGAGAGGCAGCACACCTCAAGGATCTCCGCTCAGAACACATAGCCAACCTGAGTCACTGGGTTTAGTGGAACACATCTCTGGACCTTGCAGCCAGCCAAGGTTAACTGCTCCTACAAGAATAATTGTGAGTTGCTTTCCAGTGCTTCCAAAGAACTTTATGATAACAAATACAATCATTCTGGAAACACACACTAGCTGTAAGAGTGGAAAACCTCTGCCCAATGTCTGATAGGTCACTGATCCTGCATTACAAATGAGCCTGAAACCCTCACACAGCTCCACAGGGATCACCAGTAAGGATTTATTTTCTGAAAGACCCAAGCAGGTGAGACACCAGGTCGATACTGTGTTTCTTTTTTTTTTAAATAGGATGGCTGCTTTGCAACAGAGGAGCCTTAGATTCGGGAATTATAGTGCCATGCTGCTGTTGATTCACCAGCAGTCATCACTCCTATTCTGCTGTTAGGCTGAATGAGAATTGAGGCATCAAACCGTTTTGTACAAATGTGCAGTGGGTGATTTTCAGCGACCATGTCGGCCTCAAGACCATGTGGATCCAGGCCGCCGTCATCCCAGTGAAAAACTGACACCCGAGTGCTGGCTTTACGCCGTGACGCTCAGCTCTCATTCAGACTTACAGCATCAGCACCTGGTCAAAGCATGTGAAGAAGCCACTTGGAAAGTTATATACACTCACCTAAAGGATTATTAGGAACATCATACTAATACGGTGTTTGACCCCCTTTCGCCTTCAGAACTGCCTTAATTCTACGTGGCATTGATTCAACAAGGTGCTGAAAGCATT